ATTACTTCCACTCGGGGTCAAAGGGTCACCACTGGATGTGGGATTCTCGCCTTTTTAATTATGGAAGCTGGGAAGTACGTACTTCTGCTGAAACTTCTCTTAAACAATAGCTTGTTGAAAGATTTGGCTTCCTTCCATCCTATTGTGTGTAAATATTAATTTTTACTTGTTGCTTTAGGTACTAAGGTTTCTTCTTTCAAATGCAAGATGGTGGCTGGAAGAATACAAGTTTGATGGGTTCAGATTTGATGGTGTGACATCAATGATGTACACACATCATGGGTTGCAGGTAATATCTGAGTGAGTTTGGAGATTTTCTTTTTTGCTTGGTGTTATATGATAAGTTACTTGCATGTTCTGAGGTTAATTATCAGGTTTTGACTTTATGTTATATAGAGAAGTAGAACTGATGTAACATTTGATTCTTGCAAGTGGTTAAGCATCATTTCTCTATGTTTGTTTCTTAACTGAATTCTCTTGAGGACTAAAGGGTGTCAGTGTCATCACATCTTTATAATGTATTATCCCGGCTTAACCTTTGTTGTCTTGCACTTGCTGTAGGTAGCATTTACTGGAAACTACAATGAGTACTTCGGATATGCAACTGATGTAGATGCTGTTGTTTATCTGATGCTGGTTAATCATATGATTCATGGGCTATATCCTGAGGCTGTCACCATTGGTGAAGATGTATGTCCTATAACTCTTCTTTGAGTCACATTAAGCATCCTTCGACTTATAATCATTTATTTGTTCTAGAATTATGATGTCCGCTTTAAGTCCTGTCTCTTCTACCACAACATTTGTTGCACTGGGTTGCGTAAATGGAATGGGGTTTCAAAACTTTTTTATGTGATCCATGAGGATGCTAAGTGTAGAAATGGTTTTGAAAAAGTTTGCACACATGTATATGTGTGTGCATAAGCCTACCAAACATTTGTGTATTATAAATGCTTTTCTAAATCTCTACTGCTTCATCAATTCTCTTCATGCATCAATTGAATTCATATGCCATGAATAAGTAGGTTACCCTGCTAGTAATTAAGTGTTTTGATATTGTAGAATGAACTAAAGAATTGTTAAAAATGCTTGTTGCAAATTAAGCTAATTTTTATTGTAGACCAAGAGTCATGGAAACATAGCAATTAAAGGTGCCAAAAATGAAAATTCCAAAAACAATTGAAGGGAACGAACAAGAATCTCTAGAAATCTTAAAATATCCTTGCTTTACTCATATTTCATCTTTTGTGCAAATAATTCACCTAAAGAGCTACTAGCACAACAATACGCAATTTATGTATTACCCTTTAGAAATATTAGCATAGTAAGGAACATTTAATTGCCAAAATGTTTTTATTGGACTGATTTAGTTGCAGATTTTCATTTATTATTTGCAAAAATAACATTCTTAAAGTTCTGTGAATATTGAAGAGGAAAAGAAACAATAGTTGAAGGTAGATTTCCACCGTCTTAAATTGTCATCTGTCATAAATAATCAATTAATAATGAGTAAAACAAATAGAGGATAATACTAAGAGGACTGTAATCAAGATGAGTAATTCTCTTGGGAAAATGTAAATATTGTTTATCCTCATTGTGCTAATTGTGCAATTTTGTATGCTACAGGTGAGTGGAATGCCTACATTTTGCCTTCCTGTCCTAGATGGTGGTGTCGGATTTGATTACCGACTGCACATGGCCATTGCTGATAAATGGATTGAGCTTCTTAAGTGAGTAACTATCCAATTTAAAACTTTTTACCATATGATGACCTGGAATCTACTATCTTGTGAAATGTATTTGATGTTAAACTATGTGTACTTTTTGCATTGTTTTCTCATATAGGAAAAGGGATGAAGACTGGAAAATGGGCGACATTGTTCACACACTTGCCAACAGGAGGTGGCTGGAAAAGTGTGTTGCTTATGCTGAAAGTCATGACCAAGCTCTAGTTGGTGACAAAACAATAGCATTCTGGTTGATGGATAAGGTTAAATATGTTCTTACTTACATTCATGCTGATGAGTATTACGCACTTGGAAAGCTAACTGGATATAGGAAATGATTTTACTTGACAATCTTTTTTTTGGTTGGCCTCAAGCTTTTAGAAATTTGCAATTATATTGCATTTTGCAAAGTTAAATACAAATGAAAAGAAGTTACCCTGGTTTTCATTTAAATAGAGTTAACCAGCCTGATTCGGCTTTATAATTTATAATATAATTAGCTTCAATTGCTTTTTGCAGGATATGTATGACTTTATGGCTCTGGATAGACCAACTACTCCACTTATAGATCGTGGGATTGCATTACACAAAATGATTAGGCTTATTACCATGGGACTAGGTGGAGAAGGATATTTGAATTTCATGGGAAATGAATTTGGTCATCCTGGTAAGATCAACTGGTTGCATCTGTGATGTCTCATCATTCTTTGTCGTCAAATTGTACAATTTGACGGTTCTTGAATGCTGTGTTATAATTTCTTCACTATTCTTTTCTTCAGAGTGGATAGATTTTCCAAGGGGTGACCAGCGTCTTCCTAATGGCAGAGTAATTCCTGGGAATAATTTCAGTTATGATAAATGTCGGCGTAGATTTGATCTTGTAAGTTTCTCTTCAATTCATATTTTGCTTGTGTTACAGCTTGTTAAAAAGTTTGATAGTTATGTGATTTTACTTTCTTCCAGCGACTAGCAGCATTGTCTGCATTTGTATTTTATAATCAACAATCAAATATATAATAGTATAATTGATCCCTAAAGTTGCTATGCATAAATGTCTCCGCATTGTATGTGTGTGTGTTCACACGTGCCGCAATACATTGTTATATTTGGTTATATGCACACAGGGGGATGCAGACTATCTGAGGTATCGTGGGATGCAAGAATTTGATCAGGCAATGCAGCATCTTGAAGCAAAGTATGACGTAAGTATTGATGGTGCTTATTGTTTTGTTTTATATTTTCTGATGAATGGGATTGCCTAACCATACATTTTATTGCATATTTTATTTATTTTTCTATACTAGTGATTAATCAAACTCAATTACATGTGAAATTTTAAAATAAAGGAATGATAAACAAAGAAAATGAATGAACATTAAGCAGGATAGAAGAGAGGAAGTGAATATTGAGAGAGTAATGAGCAGATAGAGGTAGTCATTGGTGATCACTTTCCGTTGTCAATTTAATTAGCCAAATGTGTATTGTAATCTTTACTTATCGATACTTATTGATGGATTTATTTTTGTTACATTGTAATCTTCTTGAAGTCATTGCTTGGAGCTTTTTGACAAAATTTATTATTAAATGATTTCATTTAAAATCATTTCATGGTCATGGATCTAATAAAGCCTTCAGGCTTACCATATATGCCTGTGGGCATGGCTCTGATTTTAGTAGATTCTCTCTTCCACATAAAAGACAATAAAAGCTTTCATAATTCATAGGATTACTCAAATTTTAAACAATTTCTTTCCCTTAATTTCATAATCCCTATAATACAAAGTTTTACCTTTTATTTTGTACTAGTAGACCATGTTATGGTCTTCTACGATTATGAATTATCACCTGTTCACGGTATGAGATTTATCCAAATCAAACAGTGTTGTCTGGGTAACCAAGAAGCTTTACTTTCCACTAAAAATGATGCACGGTTGATTGTTTATTCAGTTCATGACTTCTGAGCACCAATATATATCACGGAAGGATGAAGGAGATAGGATGATTGTCTTTGAAAGAGGCAACCTGGTTTTCGTGTTCAACTTTCACTGGCATAACAGCTATTTTAACTATCGAGTGGGCTGCTTAAAGCCAGGAAAGTACAAGGTATAACATCTTTTGGTTCATACAGATGAAAGAAATTGCATGCAAAAAATTCCTTGTGCCTTTTGTTATCCCACCTTGCCCTCTTGGTTATTCGTATCAACATATCATTCATTTTTTTTTTCTTGTTATTGATTCTTCAAATATAGTTTCAAAAAAGTTCATGCTGTTTGTCATGAGATTAACATTTTTATTTTGTTCCTTTTTCCCAGATTGTATTGGATTCAGATGATCCATTATTTGGAGGCTTCAATAGGCTTAGCCATAACGCTGAGTACTTCAGCACTGTAAGTTAATTCTCTGAAGATTTGTTGCTGAATTCTGTATGCCCCTTCAACATTCACTCAAAAAGTTTTCCAAGTTAAAGCCTAATGTCGGCTTCTGCAGGAAGGATGGTATGATGACCGGCCTCGTTCCTTCTTGGTGTATGCACCAAGTAGAACAGCAGTGGTTTATGCGCTAGTAGAAGATGAACCAAATGCAGTTGGCAAATCATTACCTGCGGAAATTTGTGCAACTGTTGAAGAAGCAGCAGAACCGGTGAAAGAATCAGAACCTTTAGGCCACTAAACTTTTCTCTATCATAGAACCTCCTGATAATGGATTGGCTTAAAGAAAATGTCTTCTCGAGGAGCTGCCGCACTCAACAAGGTATTTTTGGCTTACAAATTACACATGCTATATAATTCCATGATCGAAAGCTTCACTGCCAAAAATGATCACAGAAAAAATCCACCTTACAATGCCGGGCATATAAGCAAAATCTGGAGCAGGAGATGGCAATTCTTTGATGAGAAATAAAGTCAAATTTCTATAAATATATATATTTATATATTTATAAAGTTTGTTGGGCTCTGTAAATGTTTGGCGCTGTTATCTTTCAAGCTATAAGCCGCTGATGTCAGCTAAATATGCTATTTACAAAAATGTGAAGTTACAGCTGAACGCCTTTAAGGCATTGAGCATCCTGAATAATAGTTTAATAAATATCATCAGTATTGCAGCAGACGGATCTTTTATTTTATCCAATATATCGGTTGTGGCGGAATTTGCTTGAAGGCCTGCTAGAAAAAAACTTTTAAACTCACAATTTTCTTTTTGTTGCGCCCTTGATTTAGGGAGTAAATTGAAACTCAAGACACCTCTTAGCATGTTTTACCAAAAAATTCAGTATCGGGGTGCTTGTCTTTCTCGCAAACTTATTTAACGAAACCTCTTTAAAACAGATAGCGACTGCTGCAATCTAATATTACAACACATCATGCAGTCAATTTTGTTCAATGAAAGTCAAAAACAGAAAGTGAAAGCAATTTACACATGGAAATGTGTTTGGAGTGCGTAAAAGGGTTAAGTTAAAAGACAAATAACACAGCATTACCTACTAAATTCAAGTGCTAACATAGCTTGTCTCAGATGCAGAACCCCTGGGCAACTGATGCAGAACACTAGTAGGTGATGAATTAGATGTTGATGATCTTAAAGCCTCGGCAAGGGGTCCTCCCATCGACGCTACGTGGTTTGAGGCCCACCCCGCGGCCCAATTCAATTGTGGCTGATCCCTTTCGTTGTCCCGGCTACCCAGTTGGTCTCCATTGCCCGTAGACAGCTTCAACGACACATCTGATGAGGAATTTCCAGGTATTGAAATGGAGAGGCATGTTGCAGAATTCATCCGGCTTGCATTTGTTCCAGAATTGTCAGATTCTTGTAGGGATCTCGGCCAATCATCAAAAAAGTGCCTCAATATGTGACCATCAGATCTGTTATCCACTTCAGTATGGGCTTCGAAAAGGCCTCTATGTTCATTTTTTGACTCTGAGGAGCTGCCAGATATGTAAGAACATTGTAGAGCAAAAAGATTAGCAAAAAGAACAAGCAAAATAAAAATACATTGTACTGCAGCATAAACAATGCACGCTATAAAAGCAGTGGTTGGGGTCAGCTTGTATCGAATAATCTAAAGCTCCTGCCCAGATTTTAAGATATACATTGGTCAGATCTTGATTAGGGTCCTACCAGGGAGATATCACTACATAAAAGCACCACATCCCAACAAAAGATTCTGTCGAATCCAAAGTTCCACGAGTTTGTACCGAATAGTAAATGTGGAAATATCCCACGCTACTTTAAACTATGAGTTTTTTTCAGTATAGCATCAAGAAAACTCGATTCCATTTGATTGATCCACTATCTTCGTTTCTCAAATAGTATTTAAGAAAATAAATTTTCTACCGAGTCGTGGATAAAATTGTACATCCCTCGTCTCATCCTATTATTTTCAACCATTACGTCTTAGATCGCCTCACTGTTCGATTCAGGGCTAGAAATAAGAGCAAGAGCAAAATCATTATCCAATTTCCAATAATTTAGTATACTTAACCATTGCCACCAGCAACAGTAAACTATATATATAAATGCTCCTGTCTCCCTCCTTCCTTTTCTTTTCCCTCCATCATTGGGTTGGATTGGTGGGCGAGAAATCGAACCTTAGAATCCAAGTCAACTTTTTCAGTTGCTAGCGACCTATATCAACTACCAAGAGACCAAAACCTTTCATCATGGCTCATCTGTTCTTATCAACGTGGCAGGGTGCTTTCCTAATCGTGTGCCCAGTAAATTACCACCCAAAAATCATTGTTAAAGATTTAAAAGCCGTTTGGAATGAGAAGATTGGCAGCAAGATTACCTATGATTAAGGTGAAGAAGATCAATGGGAGGGGAGGGCCCTGAAAGGCCAAAATTGTTGGGTCCGTTAGCCACCGCTGCTAAGGGCGGGGAGGTAATTGGGGAACTGGCTTTAAGAGAACCACATCCGATAGCACCAACACCAGTACCGGAAGCACCACCAAAAGGAGCAGTGGCATTATTGTTCGTGATGCTGGTGGTGGTGCTAGATGTGGGCATTTCCACAGGCTTTCTTGAACGGTTGCGGCCACGGTGCACGTGGCGCTCGCAATACTTCTGGCCAGCAACCACGTCCCTCGAGCACCTCCACTTCTTTCCGTCAGTCCTCCGGCACCGACCTGGCTCTGGATCCGTTGCTGCTCTTCCCCAGTACCCTGATTGCAACACTGATTACACGTGTTCATCCTCTTCATCAAAAGTTCACTACTGTTATAGTCTATAGTATTTATTTTTTGGACGGATTCATTAAATTTTTTTAGGTAGACATATAAAATTTTTATGGACCAATTTCTTTTAGCAAATAGTAGTTTTATTATGCCATAGACAAAATACAGAATTCATAAATATAAAGCAATAACAGATAAAAAAAAAATTGGCCCAAATCAAATCTTGACGAAAATGTAAATTTTTAAAACGTGGGATGAACAAACCCTAAGAGGAGTTCAAACATAGTCACTGTGTTGGAAGCTATTAATTGTGCATTTAAAGAACATGTAAATGATCTTAACATTTAATAGAACCAAGAAGGATGATAGCTGATGAAAATTGACTTACAGGCTGGCTGGTAATGTGAATAATGTTGAAGAGGATAGTGGAGGAAATATGTAGGAGAATGAGGAAGGCTTTTCTTGATTGGTTGGAGGAGTTCAGGCGGAACAGCAGCGCCAGCTAACATGTATCTGTAGATCAAAGCTTGTAACTCCAGTTCCTGCCACTGAGCCAAGCTGAAGTAACTTGCCATACCTAACAAAACAAAGGAGACCAAGGATGGCAAAAAAGGTGAGAAGTGAGAACCCCTACAAGGTTTTAAAGTTAATTAGAAAGGAAATTTAGAAGGCAATCAAGAAAGTAACCAAGCCAGAAACTTTCCAAACCAGGGACTTGGAACTTTCTGAGGTTCGGTTCTGTCAAGAAGAGATAAAAAAAAAAAGGTGCAAAGAAAAAGGAATAAAAATCTCACCGGTAAATCGGGTATTTGAATCTGGAAGTGCTGACAGGTTGCTGCTACAGATTTTACTGTTGAGTTCAGGTACAAACAAAGGGAGAGAAGAAGACCCAGGCGGGAGTTGCTGTTGCTGTTGTTGATGATGGGGATCGAGATGTTTTGGTATCTTTGCAGAAGGTTGTTGCTCTGACTCATGCTGGTTTCTCCATTGCTTCAGATGCAAGTCCATGGAGAGAGAGAGAGAGGGAGAGCGATTTGTAGCTTGGTTGGGTTTTTAATAGAAGCTTGGTTTGATGTGTTGGGCATGTGAAGAGAAAGTTTGGAATAGCTTTTGCAGGAACTTCTCTGTAGGTTTTCTTTTATAACATTGGCAGATAGCACACTTAAGAGAGACAGAGAGACAGAGAGACGGAGGGAGAGAAAAAGAGAAACTATTCTGACACGAAAGCCTGCAAAGTTTGTCTATGACCAATGGAGAAGCCTATGGCAATTGAGAAAAAGACAGTAAGACAAGACAGTTGAGAGAAAAAGAAAACTCAAAAATTATTAAAAAAATACTATATAATCAAAACCCTGTTGAGAAAGAAGAGAAGCTTATTAACCTTCAGTCGTTCTGTCTCACATCTTTCCCTTGGAAGTACCTCCTTTTTTACGGATAAGCAGCTGAGTCTGCACGCTGCAGCAGCATATGGTGAGATCAGACAGAGCTTAAACACCCTTTAATTAACCTTAACTTTTCCATTTTCAGTGTAATTACGTACTTAAACTAGGAATAATTTACACATGATATATTTAACTATATTAGGATTTTGATGAAGCTAGCCTACAAAGCCGAGCTCAGACTTTCCTGGTTTGTCTTTCCAGTCTCCAGGATTAAACCATGAGTAGGTCATATGTCCCTTGTTCTGCAGATAGCTTTACTTAACATGAAGATTACCCTGAATTTACAGCCCCCTCAGAACATTGAAATTTCATGTCTTTTCCCAAGAAAAGAAAATTTACTGTAGTATATAGTTTGCTAATGAGTTTGTTAAATATTTTTCTTAAAGATAAATCAGATTTATATGTATGCTATTTCGGCGGCCATTTCAGGCCTCTTGGATGCCGGATAGAGTTTTATCGGTGGCGAAAGGTTGTTGTTCAGGCCGTTTGATGCTATTCCACCGAATACAACCAAGAGAAGCAAATGGCTAAATAGAGCAGTAACGAAAATGGCTATTCATGCCAACCATACATGGCGTAAATTTTTTTGGTAACACAGTTAAAGCAGTTAAGTTATTTTTCCTTATTGCTCAAAGCTCCATCCCACCATACAAAACGACAAAAATCATTTCGGGACAAATGGACTTAAATTTGTCCTTATTGTATATATGTACAATTCCCTTATGAACCTTATTTATTTTACATTTTTAGTTTATTTCTAATTCTTTATTGGAAATCCATAAATAAATATTTTTATTTTTAAAATTTCTTTTTTATTTTAAATAATGAGGATTTCAACCCTACGTCATTTAAACATGAAAAACATGTAATACTAATCATTAAAACAAATGCTTGAATCTATAATACTAATATAAAGAAGTTTTTAGGATTTCAATAATAGATTGATACACTTGACATTGAATTGTTGGTGTGAGTGAAATTGTTTGGTTTTTAATTCATGAAAAAAAAAAAAAAAAACTGGTTGGGTTTTAATTGATGATTATGGTAATTTAATCAGGTTGGTAAAAATGTATCTTGTTTTATATAAAATTTTGTTTTGGTACTCGATGAATATCGTATGGCTCTTATGGATTTTAATATATGTTGTTGTTGTTTTTTTATAATTAAACAAACACGCTTTGAAAAAAAGAAATTTTTTATTTAAGTTTGAATTTTATTATATTTTTTATGTGATATAATTGAATTTATTGTAATATTATTGAATTTAAATATTAATTTTAATAAATTTTATTTAATATAATTTTTTTATTACATTTTTTAATTATAATTATAATAATTTTTATTATTATTTTAAAATTGAGAAGTAAATATGGTCCAAATAGGTAAATGATAGAGCAAAGCATAGGCAGAAAAACATCTTTAATCAACTGCACTGTGTACGGACATCGGAAGGAACCCCTGCAACCCAAATCCACGTCGTCTTTACTTGAACCATTTAAAAATAAAAATAAATAAAAACAGCGGAAATTACTTAATATTAATAAATTAATTTATAAATAAAGAAATTAATAAAAGAGAATTAATAATAATAATAATAATTAAAAGAAAAAAGTTGGTCACATGTCTGAAGCAAAGTAATACGTCACTGACACAATGTCAGTACAGATGTCAGACGACACACATCTGCTCACGTGGGTCCCTTCCTTTTTTCAACATTTTCTGTAGGATACAGTATGGCACGCCACTCCTTTCCTCACGTGCCTTCACGTGACTTCCTCTTTCTCAATTTCCTTTTTATTTTTTAAATATTGATTTTTAAGCTTTTTTTTAAACTATTATTTATTGTTAAATCTCTCCAATCTCAAGTTGAGGGCTCAACAAGAGCCATCCATTGAATTCAAATATAAAATGATAAAATTTTACTGAAGATTATCAATTGAGCTATTATTATTATTATTATTTTACGATAAAAATTTAATGTAAATGTAGGTTCTTAAAATCACACGAAATATGAAATGCTTTTGGTTATATTACATATAAAAAAAATCAATGATATTTATCGGTTTAGTGATTTATTTATCTCTAACAATTTTTTTGTTTGATTATATTTATAATATATTCAATGTGTATGGTTTGAAATGTCAGTACTTTGATAGCGGCAGAAGCCAGCTTAATTCATTGCTCGAAGGCCAAGTTTTTTATTCGGAAGAAATTGCAGAGTAGATCTTAACTTTCTTTTCAGCTTTGGGTTTCCCAACCACAAATTACCAATATAGATATACTCTAAAAATTTCAGTACTTGGTTTGAGTGTCATTTTCTTTTTCTTTATAATGCCTTAAATTCTTTTATGGGACTCTGCAATTTGTAAGATTCAGGCATGGTAACTGTACAATGAACGGTTGTGTTACCTTTTCCATACCATATTTAGTATACATTTACATTCACATGCACCCTCAAATTTTAATTTGAAATGACAAAAATAAAGTCTTTTTGGCCTTTGGGGCTGCATGTTAACTATTGAGAATATACAACTATAATCTTATTAAGAAAAAAAAAAAAAAGCTTAGATAATAAGAAACCTTTAAATTTGGTAACATATAAAAATTAATTGAACAATATACAAGAATCAGTGCATGTGCATGGAGATCAAATCAATTAATAGAATAGGAAAAAAAATTATAATGATTATATTAATTTAAATTTGAGAAAGGAATTTGATAAGTTTTTAGGGTTTCAAAGAAAATAATCAAAAAGTAGAAAAATGTTTTTTTTTTATTTGGGTGAAAAAATTAAAATTATTAAATACATCAATTACTGAATAAATATTCGATAAAAAAAAAAAGTAAATTCTATCAATGTGATCTTATATACAAATGTTTCAAATTAAAAAATTACCACTTTTCACCAAAAAAAAAAATATTCTGTGAAGCAAAAGGATGGGAATAAGTTTATTCTTTTCTTCTCTGAATGAACTGGCATGAGCACATGTTTGGAAATTGAAACCAACCCTTCCCTCAGAGTAAGCTTTCCATACTGTCATATGTGGAAAAGATCAGATAAAGAATCCAATGCCCTAAACTTTTAAAAAAATACTCGTCTCTTTGAATTTTATTTTCTTTTTGTAAAAATATTGAAAACGTTTTATTAGTTATTCCCAATTCAATGAAAGCAGTTGAGACCAACATATAGCCCCGAATCCCACATTCAGTAAAAAAAAAGGAAGAAAACAAACCCTATCTCTTTATATGTTAGAAGTAGGACCGTAGGCCCAATCCAGTTTGAATGAATCGATAACTTAAGTTAGCTGGGCTTCAGGCCCTAAATTTTCCAATATTATCTATGATTATATCTAGTCTGGTCGGGCTTCCATTAAAAAAGTTTAATTGTTTCAATTCTCTGGGATTGTTTAGTTGGGCTTACATAATAAACAACCCATTTTTGGATGGGTTCCGGCAAGTCTATATATGGGCTGAACCCTAAGAGAAAATCATGAAATAAGCAAAAGGAAAAGACAAAGAAAACGTACGAATTGAAGACACTAACGTTTCGCGAAAAAGGTTACAATCAAACCAGCTGGAGACGTTGAGACGGTTGGCATGTCAACAAATGTAAGGGACCGAGTGACCTGTAGTGCAAATACCAACGAAACGACAACGGCATAAACGGCTAAAGCAATTTATTACGACGGGCGTCTCGTGAAAGACAGTGTTCATTTGAAAACTCCTCTCGCAAAAAATGCTATAGTTTTCATTTATAAAACCTGCAATTTGTTTTTTTTTTACTTCTCTCTTAAAAAAAAATAATGTTAATTTTAACTATTCATACGTTAAGTTAAACTTTCTTCAACCTAAAAATAATGTGCTATGAAACTGAAAGCCAACGGTATCCAGACATCTCGGGGGTTCCTTTATTTTTGGAGTGGACTGGAGACATCATTATCCAGGTCAAACAATATTCATTTGCTTCTCCACGCGCAATTAGTCAGACAATCACGTTGGTAAATACCGTGAAGGCAATTGAACAAGCAATTGAACTTGAATTTACTAACGAATTCTCATCTTATAGACTTGATTTGGTCAAAATTATCATAAACCTCAAGTTAGCTGCATGTTATCCATTACTCATATTTATTCAAATATTATTGTTTGAAAATTAGAATACTGGAATTTTGACAGGTTCTTCTTTTTTTTTTTTTCAGTTCTGAGAATTTTGGTCAACTTAATTGATAATAAGAATCGGCTTCTACTTCAAAGAAATTATGTTCTAGAACTTTTGTCAACTGGTCTCTTCTCATAACATAATTTCTTAAATACTAAAATAAAATACACAAATAATCATTTAATTTTAAATGACTATGATAAAATTCTGGTTGAGTTTAAATTTTATTCCTAATGAAATTATACTTATATGCTATTAGAAATTTGCTCTTGTTAGACTATGAGATGCTATATAAATAAGCGAGACAAATTTTTTTTTTAAGCGAGATCTTAAACTATATGATTATTAACTATTAAAACAGAAATTATTTCTAAAAATTTAACATAATCATAATTTGTGTGGGTTGAGAATCTAAAAGATACAGATGGACATGGCCATAACCGCAACCCCACTTGACAAAATGCTGTAGGAGAAAGTTACATACTGCTAGAAAATATTAAAGACATGATATGTTAGATACTTGCTAATCATTGGTGTTCCAAACACGCCCTTAATCAAATATGCTAATGGTGGCATTAGGTATAATTGACCATCTTTGCTATATTTTTTTATTAATATAGTATTATTATTATCAAAATTAAAAGAAAAAAAATTAATTCAATGGACATCGTTGGATGGGCCCACCACGAGATTCGTAGGCCCAAAATCATTTTGATCCCATGATCCCGTAACCGGTTAAGAATGTGATTTTGAGAAAATGAAAAATGTTTTTGTTTCAACTTTGAAGTTGGCATCCAATTAATATTGGAAAAATAACAGATCATATAAAATTAGAAATAAAATCCAAAATTAAAAATCAAAAATAAAAAAAAAAACATAGAGAAAAAATTAAAAGAGGAGATTCTTGCTTTGGAGGCCCAGATTGGAAAGTTAGTCATATTTGTCAAAAGGTTAGCTAAGCAGCCGCCAAATGCCAAATTGCCATTGGCCGTTTCTCTCCCAACTTTGCTCTTACGGCTCGGTTTTTCATTTGGTGTGATTATTTTATAGGCAACCTTTTCTGATCCACCCCTTGCCAACATTTATAAATTTTTTTAGAAACGATAGCCTTAGCTCTTCAACAGCTAGAATTTAAACATACTTCTCAAGATGATTCTAGCATTACTAGAGTTCTTAATTATTGTTGGTTTTCCAGACACTGAAAACCATGATAAAGCTGTTTAACTCAAACAGCATAATTATAACATTTACCATTTTGCATACTTTTTGCATGCAAATTTGTAATTATTTTTTTTAATATCTACATTTAAATTCATTATTAAGAAAGAAAAAAAAATTAAGTGCTTGTGTCAGTCATCCAATGTGGATGGAGAATTAGTTGAAGTTGGTTGTCCACCAACAAAACAAGAAAACTACATTGTTGCCATGAAAAAGGTCCCATCTGCACCCTCAAACAAGTTATGATTTTGGAACAGAGGTAAGAAACAAGCAATTTGTAATTATTTTTTTTAAATGAGGCAATCATTTAGTGTTTAATTCTTTCTTTTGTTTGTTTCGTTTCCGTTTCTTAGTTATGTTGCACTTTTTCAATAGTTCACATGGAATTTAATGAGCCAATAATTTACCGTACATTGTACAATAAATTCACATGCAAAATTTAAATTTAATTTATTTATTTTAAATAATAAGATATAATATTTTAAAATTTTAAATTTTAATATATATTTTTTATTTGATGTTATGATTTATGTTATATAAAAAATTAATTATTTATGTTCTTTTGTTTTTTGTTTTTTAGTTTTTAAGAAAATTTTTTGAAAAGAAAACCAGAATTTTAAAAAATTCTCAAAACTGGTTTTATTTTATTTTAATTTTCAGATTAGTTTTTTTATAAAATTTTAAGTCCCAGCTGTCACTGTTTTGAAAAGTCAAATGTTATTCTTTGTTTGATTTTTAATGCCAGCTGTCGGTTTTAAATGACCATACGTAGTATCTTTGTTATCCGTGCGTTTTCCAGTATTTGCTGAAACTTTATTTTTAATTATCTTATAAATAATAAATAATAATTGTAATAGTCAAGATAGCATAGATATTTGTAAGTTCAAAGAAAGCTAAGCTAACTTAAGTAAATAAATAAATAAATAAATAAATAAACAAATAAATAAAAATGTTAGAGGCCATCCTTGTTTATAAGCACTTCCAACGGCAGAAAAAGGAAGAAAAGAAACAAAGCAAAAGCGAAAGAGAGAAAAAAAAAAAGGGGGAAGAGCTAGAAGGGAATAAAGAGAGGAATTCGAGGAAGAAGAAGGGTTTTCTCTTAGTGTGAAGAAGCTGGAGCTAGCAAAGATGATACAGACTGAGCAGCAGCAAGAGCTGCAGCCTCAGCAGCAAAACCAGTTAATGGTTCAAAACTCTGGGAGTCTCAGCTTTAGCACCCACTTGTCTAAGGAAGACGAAGAGATCTCAAGGTCTGCTCTTTCCAATTTCAGGGCCAAAGAAGAAGAGATTGAAAGGAAGAAGATGGAGGTTAGAGAGAAGGTTCAGCTTCAGTTATGCCGTGTTGAAGAGGATACAAAACGTTTGGCCCTGATTCGTGGTGTATGTTCAAATAAAATTTGCTCTTTTTGTTGCTTTTACCCCTGTTAGCTTACAGGCTAAGCTAAAATTTTTCTTGATTTTTCACTAGCTTGACTTGAAAAGGTGAAAATTTTCCATGTTTAAAGGCCTTGATTTTAAAAAAGTTTACTTCATTTGGTTTTCTTGGTCATGTTTTGCAAGGCTCGCATAGTGATACAAATTCCTGATCTGGGCATGGATTTGAAATTCTGAAAGAGGGTGTTTCAGGTTTCGCCTTTTGATGTATTTTCCTTATGAAAAAGGAGTTTATTTCCCCGTAAATTTAAAGATAAATTTAGAATGCATTTCTTTAAGAAATCAGGAGCATTTTATCTGTCAGATTTGCAGTTAAAGGTTTAATACAACAAATAAATTGTCAGTTAAAGGTTTAATACAAAAAATAAATTGTCGGTTAGCTTTGAGGCTTTACTTCTTTTTTGTAAAAACAACTATTTAAGTTAATAGATCAAGGGTGCCTTATAAAGGGTTTGCTGGTTTAAAACATACAACCAGATCTGGTCTTGATTTCACATAATAATATTATTACTGTTTCTCATTTTAAATAAAACCATGTAAATCTATCAGGAGCTTGAAGCACTGGCAGATCCTATGAGGAAGGAAGTTGCTCTGGTCCGGAAGAAGATTGATGTTGTTAACAAAGAATTGAAGCCACTTGGGCACACCTGCCAGAAAAAGGTACAACTTTTCCAAACATTGAGGCTGTTGAACTTTTCCATTAATTTTGATTGTATATTATCGAATGCTTGAAAGCTATGGTATCATCTGTACTTTTGGGTTGTTGAAATGTGTTGCAGGAAAGGGAGTACAAGGAAGCCCTTGACGCATTTAACGAAAAGAACAAGGAAAAAGTACAGCTAATCACAAAATTGATGGAGGTTAGTTTTTATATTGTAGTATTGAAATCAACTGAAAGATACAAAGCATGTAAATTTCGTGTTTCTGATGATTGATCTGACCTTGTTGTTATATGGTTTTATTGATTGAACAGCTGGTGAGTGAAAGTGAGAGGTTGAGGATGAAGAAGCTGGAGGAGCTCAGTAAGAACATAGATTCCATATGCTGATATAGCCTTTAGGGCTGTTTAACTGACTGGGCCAGTGTGATGTATTTAAGGTGACTTTGATATTTATATATGGTGTTAATGTTTTTGGGTTTGGTGTATTGTATGGTACCTTTGGTTGTTTCATTAGCATTTGATGGACAATAGCTGATTTAGAAAGGGAAATGCCCTATAAACAGGTTTGTAACTAAACGCATCCTGACTGCATTTTCTTCTCAGATTTCTCTTGATCATCTTTTGTACCGTTTCTTTTCAAGTTTTTCTGTAATTCGAAGTTCGTTTTCAAAACAAACGGATTTGGAAGGGCCTTAACTTGGATTCTGTAAATTATTCGGTGTTCATGAAATTAATCCACAATACCCATTAGCAGTTATTGAAATAAGATCTATTTGCTGGTTAAAACTGTTGAACTTTGTTTGCATTTACAGTTATGGCAGTTACATGTTAAAAGACTGTCGATGTTGAAACTATTGTTAAAACATTTGTGGTTGATTTAAACGGTGATTATGAATCATTGATTATGATGATTTGTTGATATTTTTCTTCCATGAAGTTTCTTGTGGATGAATTCATCATATCCGTTTTAGAAAATGGTCAATATTCAATATTCTGGCAGGTTAGTTAACGATTTTGAACCTCCTAAATCGTAAGAACAAATCCATGAAAGAGAAGTGATATCTACTCACGCACAGAGGTACATGCCTTGTTCCAACCACACAAACAGGATTGAGTTCTATCGATGATTCATGGGTGGGCCGTCTCTTTCTTTGTGCAACTAGGATTCTTTAATAATGTACATTGCATCAAGGGTTCAAGCCTCTTTTTTCATCGATTTGGAAGCGTTAGGGGGGTCGCTGATGGAGATAGGATGCGGCCATTTGCAGATTAAACATAACATCATCCCAGTCATTTTAGATTCTGTTTAAGGAAGTTCAAGCCGTCAAATTGGAGTAATGGCATTGCATTTTTTTAAAATTTTGGAATATGATTCAATATTCAAATTCAAAATTACTATGGTTTTATTTGATAAATCTGAAAGGATTATCATAAGTAATACTTAAAATTTGGTTTCTGACAACGTTGTCATAGCGATGCATTGGGCTAGGAGTTGTTTTGAGCAAGTATCATGGTATTGATCTTATAAACAGTTCATTTTAGTTACTGAGTGGTTGCTTGTGTCCGTGTTTTGATAAATCTGCTATGAAAGTCACTGTTTCTTTTTGAAATGGACAGCTGACCAAATTACCAACGCTTTCACCACCTATTTTTGTGTGCAATGAAACATCAAAAGCAGCTTTTATCTTACAATTTATCCCGAAATGAAAACTGTTTTAACCCTGGAAATAATCATGATGTTCTTTCAAAAATTTGTGCAAAGAATATCTTTTTAAAAATATTTATTAAGATTAAAACTTACCACTAAATGTTCAACAAAACGTTGAAAATACTGATCAAATTCATAATCAAAATTGCTTTTAACATGAAGAGAATGTGAGAAACTAATTTCAAATCTTTTGAGAGCAAATATTATGGGCAAATGTTTAAAGGAAAAACTACAATTTTAACAGTTCTCAGCTTTTGCCATTACTTTTTTTTATAAAATATTGCCAGGAAATATCACACAAAAGAGGTGGCTTTTTAGTTTGCCGACACCCGAGGCAAAGGCATCAATAAAATTCTCAAACTTTGTGACCATATGATCGTGTTTAATCATTGCAATGATGTTATGTTACATTCTCCAACAAGTTTTTGGGTGCTTTTTTTTTAGCCATTCATAAAAGCAAAAGATGTTATGCTACACGCAGATGCTGCACTTTTATGTGCAGAGCATCTTATGATCTTATCAAGTACTACCTTTTTCAATTCCTGGTTCCAATATTATCCTCATGCAATGAAACTTTCCTGGAAACCTAACAAAGGAGAGCCATCTGGCATTTTGGCGTGTCTTGGTTAACTGCAACGAATTTTTTTTGCAAATTTGACTGGTGGGTTAAATAGGGGCGCAAGACCAAACGGTTTTGGTCAAATGTCAATCTTCTGATGTTGGAACGGCGAACCTGCAGGTTTATTAATGATTTCCAGGTACATTATCCCGTATTTGCAGTTAGTGTTGGGAAAAAGAAAAGAATCAATGGTCTAGTCCAATATGCAGATTAGAAATTCAGAATCACTGACTTTGGTATCAGTCAACGACCATTTAAATCAAAGTCTGTCAAAAACTATGTCAAATTTCAAACCTTCATCGACGCCAACAAAGTTAGAATTGATCTCAAGTTTCAGCTTATAAATCAAAGAAAAAGGCGAAAACAAATAAAGAATGCTCTGAAGTCTGAACTAGTTGGAGAAACATATCAAAAGGCTATTGTCCTTATAAAAGCCAGGTACATTATCCAGCCCATTTTAAAGTGTTGTAAAAGCTCAAGGATGCAGGATTGCTTTCATGTCGGGCTCTGGTAAGGATTGAGACTTCAGCCTGCAATTGCCTTTATATAGTTAAGGCCTTAAGGGCTAGATATAGTTTAATATTCCATTGGTATTGGGCTGAAGTCTCACGCCCACTGCACTGTAGGCTTTTCTACTATAGTTCAGATTAACAATAGGACAGTGAAAATCATTGATACAATGATACAATAACAATAGGTCAATGAATAATTGTTACATTTCTCTTTCAAAATGAAGTTGCTAAGGTTTTGTTAGGGAATCATTTAAAGGGGACAACCCCTGACTTTGGCAAGGCTGCCACCCATAAGTTAATCAACCGAGCTAAACCCTTATGAAATAAAATTTTATTGTTCAAACTCATGAAAGATTGAAGTTAATTACTTAATTTGAACTTTAAACCTTTAATTTCAAGTATTCGATACGTTTAATTCCTTTCTTGTCTTCTTCTCTATCATATATAAATATATATATTTTAATCTCTTTAAGACTTAAGAAGCCTCCTTGATATTTCCTTCACATGAACCCAAAACGATTATTGTAACTAAAGCACATGTTTATCTCTTTTCACTTATAAGTCAAAAACATCAAGGCTATTAAAAAATTAATTAACTTGGTTCAGAAATATGGATGACGATGAGTAACAACAAAGTTCTCTAATATTTTTTTTTTTACTTTGTAGGCAAGGAGGAACATTCCGAACTTGATGCAAAACAAAAACATACAAAGCGACATAACTTGTAATTAATGTTCCATAACTCAAATGGTCAATCACGTTTTTGTTGGACCAAAATACAATTTTAACTTATTTCATTGAAAAATTTTATTTTTCCTTTGCAAAAATGAGGAGAGAATCTACCTACCCATTCCATATCTAGGTTTGATTTATGTTGGCAATATCCATTTGCCATGGAGCACCTCATGACTAGATGAAGAGAACCCTTGTGAGACAAAGAGAGAGATGTTAATTGTTTTCCTTCAAATAGGAAGATTTGGATGTCACCCCTGGATGAGACATATTGGAATGGAATAATAAGACATGAGTTAGTATATTTTTTAGAATTTCAAGGTAAATGCATATTGAGAAAAATGTGATTGGAAACCAAACAATATTACAACACTATATATAATTTATATTTGATATATGTTATTGAATTAAATGATATCATCTCATAAACTCATTAATGAAGAGAATTATATGATATCAGCTCATTAATGAATAAAACTTTTAACAAATATTAATTTTTGTATATTGTTTTGTAAATAGAAAACTACATACTCTTTCTTATCCTCTGTCAGCCTATGGTGAATTTGAGCCAAACTTCCTATTTTCGGTTGACATAAATTGGATAAGAAAAATAATTTTGGAATTTTTTTTTAACGAGTATCCAATGTTTCTTCTAAGTTGAACTTGCCATAATTTCTAGCAATATCTTGTTTGGTGCTTGTATATATAATTTAATGCGTTTCTACAAATATAAATTCATTAATTAAAGATGGAAAAAATTATGTAAATTTCATTGTATTAAAGATAATAAGTTATAACATTTCTTTATACAAAGTTGGAATTTGATTTTCGACCCTTCAATTCGTCTTCCCTTATTTCCTAAACATCGTCTTTCTCTATTAAAAAAAAAAAGTGATAGCATTTTTCTAATTGACAAATACTTATTTTTGATATTGTTTGAAAAGGAATAAATGATGAAATAACTTATATATAAATTGCTCCAACTTTATATCTAACATTGAAACGTGATCTTTCTTTCTGAAAATATGGTTTTTTTTCCATACGAACAATAAAAAAGCATACAATTCTAATGGAAAAGAATGCAATTGAAGAAACTTGACCTTTGGTAACATTCATTAAGAATTGATATGGAAAAATATGGTAAAAGTCATCCACTACTCAATTTTTTATTAAGATCCATTTAAATGATAAGTGAAATTGGTTATGATGAAATTTAAAATAACGATAAAAATGAGATTAATTACTATAATGATGAAATTAAAATTAATGATTAAGATATACATTTAGATGAAAATGTAGCGGTGATGATTAAATGTAAGAAGAGAAATTATCATTAAGAATATTAAATTAAAATATTTATGTAATAAAAGTTTAATTATTTAAAATTTATAAAATTAATAAATAATTTAAAAATTATTAAATTATTTTATATCAAATAATAGTTTCGATAATAAATAATTAAAATTTATTTATTTATTATATACTAATACATTTTATTTATTTATTTATTATTTTATAATTTGTAAGGATATTTTTGTTTTTATAACTAAAATTTAAGGATAAAAAAAAAAAGCTAACAGCCCCAGTGCGATGAAGCTACTGGAGCAAAATTGGCCAATAGCTTACTGTGATCAACCGTGCCATCATGCTATTTGGTTTGGATCTCTTCGATGCATTTGGCATCATGTTTCATAACAATTGGAACCCTACTAGAGGTTCAATGAAATCCAAATTAGCTCTTAGTATATGGAAGAAAGGGGTTTTTTTTTTGTCAAAAAGAAAAGGTTGCTTTTGAAAAAAAAAAATTGAACGAAATTTGAATTTGAAGAGAAGCAACCTAGAAGTGAAACTTAACAGCCTGAACAAAAACAAAATGCCAATGGTTTAAAATTCAATAAAATTTCAAATATTTAAATATGTAACTAAGTTGTCAATGTATATATTTTACAAATTTTACGTAAAAAAACTTATTTAAATAAAAACTTTTTACTTATGCATAATTAAAATTAAAAAAAAATACTATATGCATAGATTTTTCTATTTTATAGTGGAAAAAGAAAATTCCAGTAACAATTATAATTTCACCACTTGATTAGAAAAAAATAAAAATCTACAAAAAGTTGCAAAACCATAGAATCCAATGTGGAGAGAGAGAGAGAGAGTGGCAAAGGGCAAAGCAAATTGCGGTTTGACTTGAAGGTGGTTGGTACGGGGGAGCTCAGGGTCCAGACTCCATAACAAAGTACGGACAAAAATCCGACCGTCTCTGACACGTGGATGCAGCGGACTTTTGAACACGTGTGAAGTCGACAAGCTGAAATTGGACGAATTACGTGGATGCATCGAATGACGGTGCATTTATAAGACACTTTTACCTTTCTTGTCTTCACTTAAAACATTTGCAAAGTTTTAAGGGCCCATATGGATTTCGTAACGTTAATATTGCTTGGATCGCTCTGAATTTGTTTGGAAAAAAAAGGTTGTTGAGGCCAAGTGGGAAAGTGAAGGTTATAAAATGGGTTAATTTTTAGCCATGTTTTATAAATGTGAGGATAAAATGGCTTGCAAGTTGCAAGTAAGAAATTCAGCACAAATTCATGTTATTTTCTAGCATATAAAGAATTTCTCACGTATAGTTAATCAGAAACATATTTGATTTTATTGATTATTGTTTAATAATAAAAAATATTTAAATATAAATTCATAAAACTGATTTTAAGAATTTTTTCATGCCTTATTTTTCCATAAGTGAATATGAATTTTTTT